TTGAATCCCTGGCGCCTTGTAACGGAGTGAGCTCCCGTTACTTGTCCCAGCTTCTGCCAACCTGTTAGTTCGAAAGCACGTAAAAATGCAAGTAGAAAAATAGGAACCATCTTTGGTGGGGAGGTAACAGCGCTCCGTGCGCCTTCCGTGTTGAATCATGCCGGCCACATGACCACAGAGACGTCTTCGGACACCGCTGGCTCTTCGGCTTAGAAACGGAGATGAGCATCGCCCCCTAGAGTCAGGAACAACTAGCACATGTGTGAGGGAAATCTTTAACTTTGTAGTTCAGAGGTGGGTTGCTACCGGTTCGGCCCAATTTGGCCGAACCGGTAGTGACGGCGATGGCGGGAGGCTCTGTCCACCCATGTGGACACTTCTCTGCATGCACAGAAGCGTCACGCAAGCACACACAAGTGAACTGGTAGTAAAACCGGTAAAAATCCACAACCATAGTAATTGTTAGTTCAGCATCTGGCTATGAATGCAATTTTCCTTCAATTAGTATTTGGCTGAGGTTAAACGCCTTGCAGTTATCTAGCAAGTAAATGTCAGATAACAGGTTGGGAGGTGGGCTATGATAAGATACCCCTCCTAATCACCCCTGGCCTGCAATTTTTGCTTGGTGCATTGCACTAAACAACCGCGGGATTTATTGGGGTATCTTTATCTACCTGTACGTGGGCAGCAGTACATTCATAAAGGTGAAGGTTCCCCTTGCACATATGTGCCAGTCATTCTCGACTCTAGGGGGCGGTGCTCATCTCTGTTTCAAAGCCGAAGAGCCAGCGCTTTCCGAAGACATCTCCATGGTCATGTGGCCAGCATGACTCAACACCGAAGGCGCATGGAAACGCTGCTACCTTCCCACCAAAGGTGGTTCCTATTTGTCTACTTGCGTTTCTTATGAGCTTTTGAACTTAGGTTGGCAAAAGCTGGGACAAGTAACGGGAGCTCACTCTGTTATGTGGCGCCAGGGATTCGAACTGCTGAACCGCCAAACATTCTGATCGACTTTAGCCACTGAGCCACCATGTCCCAAGATAGCACATTCCTACCCATGGTTTATTCATCAAACCAGGATTTCATCAAACCACGACTTTTAATACAACGTACCCCGCCTCCTGTTTCTTCCAGAAACTCTTGTAAAACAAAGACACCAAAAAACCGTTATTTTATTTTTTTAAGTCCCTCAATCGCCAGCATTTTGTTTAAAACGCAAAAACACATCTCCTTCCTGTGCAAATCGTCGCTTCCCAAAGTAAACTTTGCAGGGTTATTTCTTTTTTTAACCCCCCCCCCCCCCGACGGTTGAAAACCCGGGACCAGACCTTAATGGATACATGTATACTTTTAGAATAGAATAAAAGAGCAGACTTGGAAGGGGCCTCGGAGGTCTTCTAGTCCAACCCCCTGCTCAGGCAGGAAACCCTCCACCACTTCAGACAGATGGTGATCCAGCCTCGTCTGAAATATTTCCAGTGTTGGAGCATTCACAACTTCTGGAGGCAAGTCGTAAACTTCCCCGACTTTTTTTAAAAAAATGTTTGCTTGCTTTTTAAAAGTTTGCTAGGCAAATATATATATATATATTTATATTTTATATATATATGAAAACGTCGGGGTCGATCCCTCCCGCTCCCCGTTTTGCAATCCCGCAACTGTCTCTCTCCCCCCCTTGCTCACTGCAAGACACGCGTTCGGGGTTCCAAGCCCCCCCCCCTTCCCCTCCCCCGGGTGCACGTGCTGCGAAGCCCACCCTCTCCCTCTCTCTCCTGGGGCCCGGGGAGGGGAGGCAAGCTGGGTGGGTTGCAAGAGGAGAAGGAAACCGCCCCAGGGAGCGTTTGCAAAAGCCCTGCGCGCGCGCCGCAGCCGGAGGCTCCTCGTTGGATCGCGCGCGGGCGTGGTGCCTTTTGCACCTGGAGCTCCGCCCGCCCCTCCCCAGGCTATAAGTCTCCCGCGCCCGGCCCTCGTGCGGGATTTTTCCGCAGCGTTGAACTCGAACATGGCTTTCCCGCCCCCGGTGAGTCGAGGCCAGGGAACGGCCAGGGCGCACGTGGGGAAGGCTGGTGCCTCTGTCCGAGGCTGGTTTGCAGGCTGAAGAATCTTTCCCTCCTCCGCTTCCTTTGCGGGATGGTTTCTCACGTCTCTTAGCAGACACGCGTCTTCTCTCCTTCCCTCTCCCTCCCCCCCCTCCCCTCTCTTTACAGTCAAACTATGACCCTGTTTCCCCCATCCTCCCAGGATGTGTTATAAATCACATTCTCCAAGAAGATCTCCCTCCCTCTCCCCCCCCCCCCCCCCCAACCCTTTCTTGCTGTTTGCACGGAAGCGTTTGCCCGGGGAAGAGTCGGCGGTGGAGCAAGAGAAGGTTTTTAAGAAGAAGTTTGTCTGAAGTGGTGGAGGGTTTCCTGCCTGAGCAGGGGGGTTGGACTAGAAGACCTCTGAAGGGTCCCTTTCCAACTCTGTAATTCTATTGCATGAGAGGAAGCTCCTTGCAAAGGCCCTTCACGGGATGGTTGGTTGGTTGTTTCCTTCCCTCCCCCCGACGCGTGTCAGGAACGCGCCCCGGCTCTCCTTTCGGCTGCCCGTTTTCCCCGCCTGCCCTTGGAAGCCCCCGGTCTAGGGTCTCCCTGCCTAAGCAAGGGGTTGGACTAGAAGACCTCCAAGGCTCCCTTTCCAACTCTGTAATTCTAGTGCATTCTATTCCATTGCATGAGAGGAAGCTCTTGCAAAGGCCCTTCACGGGTTGGATTGTTGTTTCCCTCCCGCGACACGTGTCAGGAACGCGCCCCGGCTCGCCTTTCGGCTGCCCGTTTTCCGCGCCTGCGCTTGGAAGCTCCTGGTCTGGGGTTGGACTAGAAGACCTCCAAGGGTCCCTTTCCAACTCCTGTTAAGCGGTTGCCTCATTGATTAAACCCGGTTGTTGTTTTTTTAAATGGTTTGAACGAAGTGTCCCGTGTTCGCTTCAAGCAGGGTTTGGTTTCCCCTTCGGGGATGCTCGGCTTTCTGTGCGCCCATTAGTTTGTTAAAATGCATTCATGGGGAGCCACATGCCTAAAATATATATGTTCCTATATATGCTTAAAATATATATGTTCCTATATGGTTCTGCCCCCCCCCCCCCAAATATATCTGGGTTTCCACATGGCGGCTATTTTCCTCCCCGCTTGACCCATAATATTTTCCCTGCCATTTTCTTTCTATTTCTTGAAGGACAAATTTGGGTTTGGGGTTTTGTTTTTTTTTCCTTTGCTTTAGCCTCAGCAAAAGAAGAGGGCCTGTTCTAGAACTTCCCTTGGGAGTCCACCATTTGCTCTGGTCTTCCTCCCAAGTTATTTTGGGGGGTGCCAGAGGCCTTCCAAAGCTGCCCTTGTGGGGTGCCCCTCCCTCCCTAAGGGCTCCCAGCTGGAATTTCTGGGTGTTAACCCTGGGCTAGAGGGAATAGCCTCCATTTTAAAACATAGGTTGAAAATGAGGGTCCCCAAACTTGGCCACTTTAAAGACTGGTGGACTTCAACTCCCAGAATTCCCCAGCCAGCCATGTTAGGCTGGCTGGAGAATTCTGGGAGTTGAAGTCCACAAGTCTTCAAAGTTGCCAAGTTTGGAAGACCTCCTCTGGTTTAAAGCTCCCAGCTGGAATTTCTGGGTGCTAATCTTGGGCTAGAGGGAATAGCCTCCATTTTAAAACATAGGTTGAAAATGGGGGTCCCCAAACTTGGCCACTTTAAAGACTGGTGGACTTCAACTCCCAGAATTCTCCAGCCAGCCTAACATGGCTGGCTGGAGAATTCTGGGAGTTGAAGTCCACCAGTCTTTAAAGTTGCCAAGTTTTGAAGACCTCTGGTTTAAAGCGTTGGTTGTGTTGAGTAGCAGAAAGTTTGGAGCGGGTAAGGGGGTATGTGTCCTTTGCTTTACAGCAAGCGGGTCTGACTTTGGCAACTTTTAAGCCTTGTGAAGCTCAACTCCCAGAACCAATGATAATTCATTTGGAACCAATGATAGATGAAGATGGCAGCTGACAACAAGGTGGCAGAGAGAAAACTTCCAAGTCGATTGTTAATGTTGTTGGTTAGCAGTGGGGAGGGATACGTTCACGCCATTTTTGAAAAAAAAAAAAAAACTTAAAGCAGTAGGGTCCAACCTTGGCAACTTTAAGGCTTGTGGACTTCACTTCCCAGAATTCCTTCATGTGGGGGAGCATGGCTGACTGGGGAATTCTGGGAATTGAAGTCCACAAGTCTTAAAAAGTTGCCAAGGTTGGACCCTCCTGCTTTAACAGCTTGTTTTTTTTCCAAAATGGCGTGACCCACTGCTAACCAAGCGACATTAACAATTGAGTTGGGAGTTTTTCTCTCTCTGCTGCGTCCAGGAGAACCAACATGTCAGCTCCCAACTTTAACTACCATTGACTCGAAATGAGCTATCATTGGTTCCAGATGTGAAGCCAAGGCACGTGGCTGATTTTTGCCAGCAGTGCAAGCTGCTTTGCCTCACACTTTATTCTTGCAACTTAATTCCCTCTCCGTTAATCTGGGCCTTTTGTAATTTAATTTTTTAAAAAATAAAGAGCATGAAAGATGAACAGTTTTCCTTTCAAGTGGCCTCTTGCGTTTTACCCTCCCTTGCCTATGTGAGGTTGAGATAGCCTTAAAAGTGGGAGCTGTCCCAGGAACAATCCTTACTCCCAAAATATCCTTGAAAGGGCCATTACGAGATCCTGAAGACAAGGAGAACGGAGGGAGTTGCCGGATTTTGAGAACAGCTGCTGCTTTTTAAGTGTGGATGTCGGAGGAGCAGAATCTGGCGTCGGATTTGTGTGCCTCGTGATAGGTTGCAACTGAGCCATATGGGGAAATGCATATCTGCAGCAATGTTAACATTTGTTTTGGTGAAACCTCAAGCCTCCCTCAGATTTTGCAATCTATTTTACTTTCCCTGCTTGAGTAAATTTTAATAGCAGCGTGAGAAATTCCGTGAGCCCCTACTTACAGCTTTAAAAGAAAACTAGAGGGAGGGGGGATCCATTTTTAAAATAGATCAGTACATATAGGGGACTTTCAGGGAAATACCATATGCAGCTTTGACATTTTTATTAGTGAGTAAGGGCTATAAATTTATTACAGAGTCAGATTTCATATATGCAAGTAATCCTCATTCACTGACTGCCCCTTTTAGTAACCATTTGCAATTACAAGGATGGAAAAAAAAAAATTTCCCCGATCAATCCTGGCATTTATCACCTTTGCAGATCTGCACAGCGAAAGGAAGCTGAAATTGGATTGGAACCAAGCCGTGGTTCCACTTAGTGACTGCTTCACTTAGCAACAAAAAGGGCCCATCCTTGTTGTAAACTAAATGGGGATTGCCTGTATGTATGTATGTATGTGTCGGAGAGCAAACTTGTTCTATGAGTGTAGCATAAAGCCTTTTGTCGTTATAAAAAATAAAAATCCAGAATTGGAGAGGATTTTTGGATTCCAAAATCTCAACTGTCTAGTTCAGTGTTTCTCAACCTTGGCAACTCGAAGACGTCTGGACTTTAACTCCCAGAATTCCCCAGCCAGCATTCGCTGGCTGGGGAATTCTGGGAGTTGAAGTCCAGACGTCTTCAAGTTGCCAAGGTTGAGAAACACTGGTCTAGTTCATAAGACTAAAAGGATTGGCCACATTTTTTCCCCTCCCCATCATTATGTTATTAGTAGCAGAGACATTAGTGATGATTCAGCAGTTGCATGGAGTGTAATTGGTGTCTTCTTATCAAAGATATTTCTTTTGCCATTGCTGTAATAACTTCCTGCTCTTTCCTCTTGCTATGTAATCTAGCTTCCCAAAGACAGAAAATAATGACAACTCAGTTGTAAGATTTCCATACTCCAAAACCTTGAAATGCAGTATCCTAAACAGCTGCACCAATTCAGATTGGTTTGAGCAGTGGATGCCAAGATAATTTGGGCATGGATAGGAAAACACTGCACTGATAGTGTTAATTCAGTTTCTACGCCAAGTGGTAACATTTGCAGTTATTCCAGACGGTATTTTTCAATCTTGGCAAAATTAAGATTCTTGGACTTCAAAAACACAACCAGCATGGCTGGCTGGGGAATTCTGGGAGTTGAAGTCCACACATTTTAAAAGTTGCCAAGGTTGAGCTACACTGTTATAGGATGATTAGAAGTCAATGTGTAATTCTTAATGACTGCTGATAATAAAGACCTGGCAGTACTAGCTAAGTTATTATTTGGGGTGGTTTTGAATTAGTGTGGTCACTGGCAACTGTCTGAACAGGTTTCTTGGCAAAGTTTGCCAAGTTTGCTATTGCCTCCTTCCTAGGGCTGAGAGAGAGGGGCTGGCCCAAGGTCACCAGTTGGCCTTGTGCCTAAGAGGCAGGACTAGAACTCCCACTCTCCCAGTTTCTGACCTAATGCTTTAACTACTACACTAAACTAGCTAAGAGCATAGCAGATAATTAAGTTTGTTGCTTAATGCAACTTCTGCGTGAAGATAATGTCAGGGAAGGGAGCAATAGGGAATGCGCCAACTAGAGAATGGATTTATTAAGTGTGTCTGGGACACTATTTGCCATAATTCTGCTGAAAAGAACACAAACTGAAAACTATAATATACAACAGTCCGCAGAATTTGGGAAGGGTGGTGCAAAGGCCATTGAGAAATCAATGAATAGGAAGAAAGTAATCGGGAATTATGGAATAAGGTGCATGAGTATGGAATTGCAAGGTTGCCTGCTTAATGCGTTGAAAGTGTTACATGGTGGACCTTAAACCTGTGAGATTAAATGGACAGCTTAGTGAATGGAGGGGGTCCCCTCAGTTGCTTAATGGAGTTATTAATAAATGTATAAGGAGCACTTGTGAGGTTGGAGGCTTGTTGGTTGTGGAGCTGGTTGTAGGTTGCTAATTTATTTATTGCAAAAGTTTCCATGTTATAGGACTTTGTGGCTTAAGGCATAACATCCAGTACATATACATTACAATAAACTAACATTTATTATATTGGTAGTAAGCGTACCGTTAACTTAATTTCACTGCAATTTTACTAGTACCATAAAACCTTAACAGCGAGCAGCAGATGGTGCTGTAGTTTTAACTGAGACCGTGAGTGATTTTGGAGCACATGTTGGGCGGATTATATGATGTAGCCCATGGATGTGAGCATTCATGAATCAAAGACCAAGGAAGTTTGTGATTGGATGGAGTTGATGAGATCCTGAAAAAAAAAGAGAAATTAGAAGTTTACGGAACAAAAGGAAGGAAGGAAGGTGTGATTGGGTTCTATAGGAATGACTTTGGAGAAAGAATTTTGAGACCTAGGATAGCGTAATGTTTAGCCCTAGGACATTAATTAATTTTAATTCATCTAATTGTAGCCTCAGAACAGAACTTTCTAATATCTAATTTTATATAGCTTCCCATCTCACAATTGACTTTGAGTGGCATACAACAGGGTTAAAAATCTTTTTTCTTTTATTAGCAGATTTTTTATTATTATTATTTTTCCCTTCTACAACACCTTACAGTCATTACATCAACATTGTTATGTCATCA